GCAAGGCGCAGGCGGGCCGCGGCCCCGCCTCGGGGACGCCAGCGCCTGCTGCTTCTCCGCTGCACTGCGTTTCGTTTTATTCATAGGGGCGGATATTGCCTGCCGGTTCTCAGCCCCTGTCCAGGATCTGCCAAAGTACAAGGGCTACGGCTGCCCACGTAGTGATGAACACACAGAGCTTGTGGAACGCTCCATTTCCACGACGCACCTATTTGAGCCCGTTAGAAAGGAGAGGAGGTCACAGAAGCCAGCGGAATCTTCTGAGAAATGTAGCTACTTAATGACAACCATGACAGTGCTTGTATCAAATACCCTCAAACTGACCTAGAAATCTAAAGAGGAAAAATATGATCTGTACTTTTCTTAAGTACATCTTTGCCTTATTTTGGGGGTTGACAGATGATTTTTTTTTAAAGATGCAGACTTCCCAATAATTTTTAGAATACTGCCAAATAAAATCATGGCCAACAGCTGTAAGCCAACACAGAGCTGGGTTTCCTTTGGCAAAGCTGGGAGAAGACTCGTCACCCGACCAAATCCCATCTCTGCCCTCAGCAAGGTCCGGCAGGTCCCAGGAGACGTGGTTATGCTCTCGCTTTGCTCTCTTGACCCCGAAGCCCTCCCAGCTCTTGAACAGCAAAGCCAAAAATAGGGTCCTCACTTCCAGGCTGCAGCTGGCTTCAGCTGTAATCACCCAAACCAAGACTGAAAGGCCCCCAATATCACGAGGTGAGTACAAATGTTTATTTTTAAATCAGCTACTTTTCTCTGGTTTAATCAAAAAGCTTTTTATAAAGTTTGGTTTTCGAGCATATGCAAATGCAGTAATCTCTGAAGAATTTGGCAAAGATTTTTTTTTCTATTTCCAGTTTCTTACTGTCGCCATAGACTTGCTTAGACTAACACTCATTCTTAAGAGCCCCCAAGAGTTCGGCACAAAGGACAAAGTTAAACACAGCAAGCTACACTGACGAAGGGTCTGAGACAGACTGAGCAGGTGCCCCCGCGACTGAAAATTGACAGGTCATTTCACCTAACAGCTGGAAGGTTAAAAAGCGTGAAAGTGAACGCATTCTGGTGTCTAAACTCTTCCGTGGGGTTTGCATTTGCACCTTGGTCTTCCAGTTCCTGCTTCACAAAGAATAATTAGCAGAGTTCAACGCAGGCTTTAATAGACAACCTCCACTCTGTGCCTGCAGCCAGATTTCCACATCTTCATCACAAGGTGCTGGTAGAACACAACACTGTAAGTCAACTACACTTTTTAAAAAAGATGCTGGTAATTATCATACTAAGTGAAGTGAGCCAGAAACAGAAAGAAAAATACCACATGATATCACTTATATGTGGAACTGAAAAAAAAAAAAGACAAATGAATGTATTTACAAAACAGAAACAGACTCACAGACATAGAAAACAAACTTATGGTTACCGGGAGGAAGGGGATGGGAAGGGATAAATTGGGAGTTTGAGATTTGCAGATACTAACTACTTTATATAAAGCGGATAAACAACAAGTTCATACTGCATAGCACAGGGAGCTATATTCAATGTCTTGTAATGGCCTCTAACAAAAAGAAATGAAAAGGTAAATAAATAAATAATTGGAATCACTATGCTGTACACCAGAAACTAGCAACATTATAAACCAACTATACTTCAATGGAAAAAAAAAAGGTGCTGGTAGAGGTGGCCAGACGCTTTCCAACATGCTCCTCAGTCCACAGCGCTGTGAGAGCATCAGAGATGAAAGGGAAACCTTTAGAAATTCTGCTGAGAAAATGCCCCCTTTCTTCCTAACACGTGTGTTCCTCCTGCTGAGAGAGGCTTTGTGCTTTGGATTTTGAAAGATGTGGAAAGCCAGTCTCCTGGAAGGGCGGGGGGATATTTTCAATCCCAAATCCAATCTGAGTGTTTCTTCAAAAGGGTTTCCATTTCTCCGCACAATATAATCTCCTTCAGGCTGAGAGGTGTTTTTCCGCCAACGCTGTGGGTGTCTATTTCAGGCCCTGCAAGTACCTGTGGTGTCTTTAATAAGGTGGACCATCAGGGAGTGACATCATCCAGGATCCTGCTGGGCCTCCAGGGGTGTTTGCTCCAGAAACTGAGGCTGGAGTTCTGCTCCGTTCCCTTTGCTGAAGGGCAGCCCCACCCCAGGGCCCTGCAGGATCTCCCCAGAGACAACCCGGTAGTGTCCTCCAGTACAGGACTCTATTTATTATGTATATATGTATCCATGCTCAATACATATAGTGCTTTTTAAACTTTAAATACTTTGTATCATACTGTTTAAGTTTTCTGCAACCTGTTTTTTTTTCTTCTCACTGTATGTTTTAGTGATCTATATTAATAAGGTTAACACAGAGGTATCTAGTTCATTTTTTAAACTGCTATTTTAACATTCTTGGGACCATGAAATTTATTTTTATTTTCCTCTGATGGATTTTAGATTGTTCCTAACTTTTCCTAGCTGTTGCTTTGCACACATTTGCAAGTTTCTCTAGTGGAGGACTTTCTAGGTCACAAGGAAGGTAAATTTTTAGCCTTACTGGATTTGTTAATTTGACATCAAACAGTTGTACTCACTTTCACTCCCACTCTGTTTTCTGTGTCCTTTCCAGCATCTCGTACTGCCTGGTCTGATGTTTTGCAGACAATCAGAAGGATACAAAGTGTCATCTAATTTAATTTGTGTGTCTCTGAGGATAGTGAGGAGGAGCCTCTTTTGTGAATTTTGGTGAATTTTGTTTTCCTTTTCTCTTCCCTGTTTATATTTTTTGTCCATTTTTTTAAAATTGGCAGTTTTGTTTTATTGCTTATTAATTTTAATTCCTTGTGTTTCTTAGATACTCTGTAATACATGTTACAAATATCTTCTAGTCTGTGACTTGATTTTTAACCATTTTTAAGCTGAGCTTTAATTTTGGTATCATCTAAAAATTACAAGTCAAGTTATAAGTGTTTTCCCTTATGATTGATGCTCTTTCCACCTTATTTTAAGAAATTCTGCTTAACTCAAGATCATGAAGATAATCTGTATATTTGTAATGGTGTAGCAGTTTTGCTTCACACGTTTTGGACATTATTCTCTCTGGGACTTATCTGTGACTAGAGTGTTACGTAAGGATCTAATTTTATTTATTTCCAAATAACTTTCTGATTATGGAAACAATTCGGGCACACTGTTAAAATTCAAATATGAAGAAACACATTAAAAGTCACCTGAAATCCTACTGCGGAGGCAAGTCATCTCCTTGGTATTTTCAACATCATTTGTCACTAGTCCCTGCTTCCCCTCTTGTTTATACCATCCTGCATCTCTCAGACAAGGAGGGGACTTTTCTCGCATTCCTAAAGAATTAATACTAGAACATCAAATCAAATCAAAACCACAGAGATATCACCCCACACCTGTCAGAATGGCCATCACTGAAAAGAACATAAATAATGAATGTGGGCGAGGATGTGGGGAAAAGGGAACCCTCCTACACTGCTGCTGGGAATGTCAATTGGTCCAGCCACTATGGAAAACAGTATGGAGGCTTCTCTAGACACTAAAAATAGAACTACCGTGCGATCCAGCAACTCCATTCCTGCATATATATCTGAAAGAAGCCAAAACACTAATTTGAAGAGATTTACATTTACCTCAATGTTCATAGCAGTACTGTTTACAACAGCCAAGCTATCTCCATCAACAGATGACTGGATAAAGAAGATGTGGTATGTGTGTGTGTACACACACACACACACACACACACTGGAATACTACTCAGTCATAATAAAGAGTGAAATTTGACCATTTGCAGCAACATGGATGGACATGGAGGGCATTATGCTAAGTGAAATAAGTCGCACAGAGAAAGACAAATACTGTATGATATCACTCATACGTGGAATCTGAAAAACACAACAAACTAGTGAATATAACAAAAAAGAAGCAGACTCACAGATGTAGAGAACAAACTAGTGGTTACCAGTGGGGGGGAGGGGCAAGTTCGGGGGAACGGGAGGTACAAGGCATTGGGTGTAAGACAGTTCGAGGATGTGCTATACAACATGGGGAATATAGCCAATATTTTGTAATATCTGTAAATGGAAAGTAACTTCTAAAAATTGTATAAAAACAATTTTTAAAAAAGAATTAGCCCTGGATAGAATTTATAGAATGTCCAGTACCAACTTAAAGGACTTTCAAGTTAGAGTACATCAAATGTTTGCCTCGTCTCACTAAGCAGGTAAATAAGTAAAGAGGAAGAGAAGGAGCATCGTGTGAGAAGTCAGGGTGTCCCAGGGATGCCAGCTCTCTGTGCTCTGGGGAAGTACAGTCCTGAGAACTGCTACCTTTGAACTTGAACGAGGCACAAGTTCTCCTGGTGTCATATCCAGCATGCTAGGCTTATCTCACTAAGTGTTTTCAAATTAAGACCATTACTATTTCCTCTAACAGATAACTTTTATTTTGTCACAGAAGAATGCTAGGGAGAACAGAGCCAATTCTGAGGAAAGCTCTGTCTAACCAGTGTGATAGGAAGACAGTGCCTGTGTTGCTCTGTTCTGGAGGTTCTGGGGAAGGAAGTCATTTATCAAATTTCATGACCACCAAGAACCAGGCCATTATATCTTTCCTCTGCGTTCACCAGTGTCACCCTTCAGTATCTTAGTACTTGGTGTTCTTCATGAAACTCACCTGTAAATTCCTCCATTAAAAATATAGTTGACTTTGAATTAAAAAAATGACCAAAACCAGATATAGATCCTGTTTATCAGCCTGGAGGATGAGAGTTCCCTGGCCCTTAGTTGACGTTCTGCAATAGACGTGGCGTGGATTTCTGCAGACACACTCAGTCGTCACTAATTCCTGCGCCAAAGTGGTTTAAAAGGTTTTCCATGTCTGTGAGTCTGTTTCTGTTGTGAAGTAAGTTCATTTGCGTCTTTTTTTTTTTTTAAGATTCCACATATAAGTGACATCATATGGTATTTTTCTTTTATGGTTACCAGGAGGAAAGTGAGTGGGAAGGGATAAAATGGGAATTTGAGATTTGCAGATACTAACTACTATATGTAAAGATAGATAAACAAGTTTCTTCTGTATAGCACAAGGAACTATATTCAATATCTTAAATGAAAAAGAATATGAAAAGGAAAGTATGTATGTGTGTGTATGCCTGAAACATATTATGCTGTACCCCAGAAATTGATAAGCATTGTAAGCTGACGATACCTCAATTTAAACAACTGTTTTAAATGGTTAGAATATTCAGTGTAGAGGCAGTTAAAAATTGCAGAACTACATGAAGAGATTTGGAAGAGCTACATCAAGATTAAGTCCCTCATCCCAAATACAGCCAAAGAGAGAGGTTAAAAAGTAAGATACATGTCTTACTACTTTGCCTTGTCTCAGTTCTGCATCTCCCCTCTTGGCAGAGAGGAAAACGACAGCCCAGAGCATCAGCAGTGTGTTCGCGGGACTCAGCTGCTGACTTTTTTGTGCTGTTTTGGCTTTTGTTCTTTTTTTTTTCTTTTTTGGGCTCCTGACTTCTGAGTCTGTGTAGATCTGGGTGCATGAGAAAGACTTCTCTTCAAGGCACGTGAGCTTTAGCCAGACACTGACAAGCTCTCCCTCCTTCTGACCGCGTCTGCCTTAATCCTCAGGGGGCCCTTGCTGCTGAGCTCAGAGTTACCCAGGCTGCTGGACTGCTTCCCCAGTCCTCCTCGTCGGATGTGGAATGCCGTGTTCCTTGAGAACACTGCTACAGGGGAAGCGGAGATCGCCTCTCTGTGTGTTTCTGAAACGACTTCAGGGGGTTTTCAGCAGGCAAAAAAAAATTTCCAGCGTGCGGTCTTTTCTTGTCTCATCTGAAAGACACTGTGGTTTTCAGCTCGCTCAGTGCTGTTACTACAGTCATTTTACCTGACCTCTTTTTTTTCGAAACAGGCATAAGACAAGGCTGAGCACAGACTTTCATGAAAATCACCCTGCCGTCTAAGCAGAACTCACACTGTTAGAAGAGCATGCATATTGTAATTTAAAAAAAAATCTGTAAGCCAGCAGTTTCTTTTCACCGCAGTGGTTTTCTTCCCCCCTGCTCATCTGCTGAGGCAGCAGGACTGCTGCACACTGTGGGCCCCGGCTTTCTGCTCTTGTTTGCTGTTCCTCTGATGAGAACTGTGCGTGTGAGGACATTTTGCTTTGTGTGTGCTCAAGGGCTGCACAGGCAGCTGGATTTTAAATTTCGAAA